TACATTTTAACAATTTACTCCTGAAGCCATATTTAAATTCCAATATCTCTGGAACCGAACCATATAGAGCATTAAAAATGAAGACGCCAAAAGGAAAGTTTGTTAAGACCCAATATCTAAAGGGGCATTAAGATATCTTTAATACTTCTTGAGGTACAGGCATGCAAACTTTGGAGAAAAAAACTTGAAAAGTGCTGTTTCCTCATTTTTGAACGGTCACCATTGGCACATAATGCAACACAGATTGCTAAAGTCAACAGATTTTACTAACAGACCTAACAATCTCTGTGTGAAAACAACATTATGATGCTGCCATCTTTCTGAAGTCATTTTAACCCCCTGTAATTTGGCTCTGAATCTCAGGTGAAAACTCCTATTTTGACCCCTCTTCTGACTAATACTTTGCTTGCCGTTCTTTAAATAGTAGTTATGTTTAGTTCCCGACAGTTGCTTATGGAACAACTTAACCTAACCCTAAAGCTCAAGCTAGCAGTCAGAAATGTAGAATCTTGAATATTACGCACATACGCATACATTTGTTTTTTTGCACATGACTATAACGGTCAAATGTTCAACAAAATGAGTAGAAAAAATACTTTCTGAAATAAAGTGCTATGTTACTTTGCATACCATTTTAGTCATGATTTTTAAATCGTTTTAAAAAGAATCGCGATAGGTGAATCGATTTTTTTCTCTCCCACCCCTATTATCCAGCATAACCGTGATTTTTGCTGAAACATCTTACTTCAACAGATGAGAAAATTCGATATGGATAAAGCTTAAAAGCTTTAACGTACCTGAAGTGATCCAGGTTTTTATGTAAACTCTGCCTAAAAATAACGTCATCTAGCCGAAAAGAGCTTGAATGAACTGAGATGAGTGACAGCTTTTAATAATTATAAAGACAGCTTGCAAATGTGATGTTGATTTTATATAGCAGTTTAATAACCAAGAAGGCAATATTAAGTGACTTAGTTTTTTAAGAATACTATTTTCTGATTTTGCTCTATTTTGTCAACAAAACTAGTTTTCCGTCTCAGCTGAGCCGCTGCGCATCTCTATGCAAACAGAGCTGGGTAGTAACTGATTGCATGTAATCTGGATTACGTAATCATATTCCAAATATTAAGTACTTGTAATTAGGTTAAACTGCATTTTAAAATTCTCAGAATCAGAAGAGCTTTATTACCAAGTATGTTTACACAATAATTATATTTTTAATATATTATCAATTTTTTGTTATTTTATTTAGTTAATGCAGCATATATTATACAAGTTTATATAATACCGACCCAAGCTGCACAGTTAAATTTAGAGCCTGAACCCATAATTGGTTTTTCACAATGAATAGCAAAACTTTTTAAATATGCTGTATTTCACGATTGCATGCAACGGTCAGTAAACAAAAACACGCAAAGAAACGGATTCATGAAGGCTCACGGCCAGTTCAGCACACAAGGCAAAAGTAAAAAACACTTACCAGTTATGAAAGTTTATGAACAACAGGCAAAACACGTTTCCTTTTAAATATAGATTGTTATATATAACAACAAACGGCATGAACACGTTATATGTAAGGGATAATCCACAGCTAGCATTTGCCTTAAAAGATTTTAATATACTGTAGTCAAGTCACCGTTATTTATATAGTGCAGATTACAATGCAGAAAGTGTCAAAGCAGCTTTACAGTATTAAAAAAGGGAAATGGTGTGTCGAAATAGGGTGCCGTTCTCCTCTAGTCAGACGAGATGATGTAGCAAGTACATCGGGTGTTATGGAAGTGTTCCCGGTTCCGGTTGACCTAATTAATTGCAGCCTAACAATCCTTTAACGGATTTGAATATTAGAAATGTGTTAGTGTGTTATGTGTAAGCCAGGTTAAAGAGATGGGTCTTTAATCTAGATTTAAACTGACAGAGTGTGTCTGCCTCCCGAATAATGTTAGGTAGGTTATTCCAGAGTTTGGGCGCTAAATAGGAAAAGGATCTGCCGCCCGCAGTTGATTCTGATATTCTAGGTATTATCAGATTGCTAGAGTTTTGAGAACGCAGTGGACGTGGAGGACTATAATGCAATAAGAGCTCGTTCAAATACTGAGGTGCTAAACCATTCAGGGCTTTATAAGTAATAAGCAAGATTTTAAAATCTATACGATGTTTAATAAAGAACAGAACCGGGCTAATATGGTCATACTTCCTGGTTCTAGTGATAATTAACACCTGTTTTTTCAGAATTTAGCAGTAAGAAATTACAAGTCATCCAGTTTTTAATATCGACTATGCATTCCGCTAGTTCTTCAAATTGGTATGTTTCGCCGGGCTGCGAAGAAATATAGAGCTGAGTATCATCAGCATAACAGTGAAAGCTAACACCGTGTTTCCTGATGATATCTCCCAAGGGTAACATGTAAAGCGTGAAGAGTAACGGCCCTAGTACTGAGCCTTGAGGTACTCCATACTGCACTTGTGATCGATATGATACCTCTTCATTCACTGCTACGAATTGATGACTGTTAGATAAGTATGATTTGAACCATGCTAATGCACTTCCTCTAATGCCAACATAATTTTTTAGTCTATTCAAAAGAATGTTGTGTGTCAAATGCGGTGCTAAGATCCAGTAGCACTAATGGCGCTTTTCCACTGCATGGTACGGCTTGGTACGGTTCACTTTTGGGGGGTTTTCCACTGGGTACAGTACCTGGTACTTTTTTTTAACGACATGTGAATAATCCCGCCCACTCGAAAGCGGTACTAAACTGCAGTGGAAACGCAAGCCAAGCCGTGCCGTGCCAAGTTGTACCACGCAGTGGAAAAGCACCATAATAGAGAGATACAACCACGATCAGATGATAAGAGCAGGTCATTTGTAACTCTAATGAGAGCAGTCTCGGTACTATGATACGGTCTAAATCCTCACTGGAAATCCTCACAGATACCATTTTTTTCTCTAAGAAGGAACATAGTTGTGAGGATGCTACCTTTTCTAGTATCTTTGACAGAAAAGTGAGATTCGAGATCGGTCTGTAATTAACTTGTTGGGGTCAAGTTGTGGTTTTTTAATGAGAGGCTTAATAAGGTTTTTGGGACATATCCTAATGACAATGATGAATTAATAATAGCCAGAGATCTATGACTTCTGGAAGCACCTCTTTTAGGAGCTGAGATGGAATAGGGTCTAACATACATGTTGTTGGTTTAGATGATTTAACAAGTTTATACAATTATTCCTCTCCTATAGTAGAGAATGAGTGGAATTGTTCCTCTGGGGATCTATAGAGGATTATCTGATGTGATACTGTGGCTGACAGCTGCATGGCTACAATTTTATCTCTAATAGTAACGATCTTAGAAGTAAAGTAGTTCATAAAGTCATTACTGCTGTGCTGTGGGGAAATGTCAACACCTGTTGATGCTTTATTTTTCGTTAATTTAGCCACTGTATTGAATAAATACTTGGTTGTGTTTGTTTTCTTCTAAAAGAGACGAAAAGTAATCAGATTTTTAAGGCTTTTCTGTAAGAGAAAGTACTTTCCCGCCATGCAATACGAAATACCTGTAGTTTTGTGATCCTCCAGCTGTGCTCCATTTTCCGGGCTGCTCTCTTTAGGGTGCGAGTGTGCTCATTATACCACGGTGTCAGACTGTTTTCCTTAAGCGTAAAGGAGCAATCGTATCTAAAATGCTAGAAAAGAGAGAATCCATAGTTTGTTACATCATCAAGTTGTTCTGAGGTATTGGATATACTGAGGAATTGAGATAATCAGGAAGATTACTTACAAAGCAGTCTTTCGTGGTAGAAGTGATGGTTCTAGCATACTTGCAACAAGGAGTAGAATTTACAGTTTTCGCTATATGAAGTTTGCACAAGACTAAATAATGATCTGAGATATCATCGCTTGGCTGCATAATTTCATAAACATCACAGGGGATTTATCATTAACACTTGTTTCTTGTTTATCTGGTTTTAGCCAGGTTTCTGTCAAACGGAGTACATCTAGTTTATGATCAGTGATTTTATATATATATATATATATATAGATATAGATATAGATATAGATAGATAGATAGGACTTGGAGGCAAACGGTAAAAATACTGTCATTTTCATCAGTTATGGCTCGTTAGCATTCTGCCTGCTTTAAGTCAGACACAGAGATGAAGTAGTGCGGTAAGATCACATTTATTTGAATTAATTATATAATTTATTTGAATTAATTAGCACATGCGAGAGAGAGCGTATGAGAGGGATGAAAGTTGCGCATGTGCATTACCTGCAGCTGCGCATCTCTCTCTCTACAAGCAATAAAGCTTAGTTGCGTCAAAAACAGCAATTTTATCCCTTCGTTGCTGAGAAATATAATGTAGCGAGTCAGTGTAGAAGCTATTTTATTAAAAGTTTCTGTGCACCACAATGTTTCTGTGTGTGTGCGCTGTGTGATCTTCGATATCTGTGTTCAGCAATGTGTGTGTGCATGCATCTATGAAAGCAGCATAGCCTACTGTATATAGTTTTAGTTTTGCTACAAACTGAGCCTGACCCAAACCTGAACCGTCGGCGAGAGTGAGAGCTCTGATTGGATGTTCAGTTTAGCGAATGAGTCAGTTCTTGAAAATTAAAGCGAAAGAGATGAAAACTAGTAATTAAATGAAGGCTGCAGAGACAGAAGGCTGTTCTAATGTTACGAGATCTTACCCAAGCATTCCAATATGCGAATGTTTACAAAAAGATTAAAATGAATTAAGTTATCAACATAACTCATATTCACAATAGTAAGCAAGCGCTGCTTTGTGTACATTTTGTATATTGCCGTATATCCCGTATACCCTTGTTTCGGTTTCTCCTTTTGAATGACAAACACCGTCGGCTTTTGTGGCTGCTAGTTGTTTTAAGTCGGCTTGGTGTGTCCCGGCCTTAAAAGCTTTCATGTTGGTTTTCACATCTTTCGCTTTTTGGCTTCAAACTGGTTAACTTGTATTTGTCTTTTTTTCCTTTAGACCAGCTGGTGCTGAAAGAGGAGAATCAAGATCCGAATGAAATGGAACAGACAGATCAGAATGAGAAACACCATGATTTCATAACTGGTGAAAATGCCACACAGACTAAAACGGCTTCTATATGAAAAAGAGCTCAGAAAACCAAATCTAACAGCCGTTTCACCTGCCATCATTGTCGGAGGAGTTTCGGTGAAAAACGAAAACTTAAAATGCACATGAGAGTTCACACTGGAGAGAGACCATTCACCTGCCAACAGTGTGGAAAGAGCTTCACTCAACAAGGAGCCCTTAAAAGGCACATGAGAACTCACTCGGGAGAGAAGCCTTACACCTGCCAACAGTGTGGAAACAGTTTCACTCAAAAAGGACACCTTAAAAATCACATGAGAACTCACTTGGGAGAGAAGCCATTCACCTGCCAACAGTGTGGAAACAGTTTTGCGCAAAAAGTGCACCTTCAAAGACACATGAGAACTCACTCGGGAGAGAAACCTTTCACATGTCAACAGTGTGGAAAGAGTTTTACACAGAAAAGCACCCTTCATTTCCACATGAGCATTCACACTGGAGCGAAGCCTTATACATGTGAACAGTGTGGAAAGAGTTTCCCTGCAAAACAAAACCTTAAAGTCCACATGAGAGTTCACACTCAAGAGAAGCCTTACTCTTGCAAGTATTGTGGAAAGAGTTTCACACATATATGCACCCGTAATTACCACATGAAGATTCACACTGGAAAGCAGCTGTTCACATGTGATCGTTGTGGAAAGACCCTCACAACAGAATTTAGCCTCAAGTGTCACAAGATCAGGCACACCGGAAAGAAACCCTTCGAATGTGATCAGTGTGGAAGGCGTTTCATTCGTAAGGTAAGCCTTAATTACCACATGAAGACTCATTCGGCAGAGAAATGCTGTAAATGTGCTCAGTGTGGAAAGAGTTTCAGTCATAAAGGTAGCCTCAATGCTCACATTAAAAAACAACACACTCGAGAGAAGCCTGTGGGAAGAGCTTCTCATAAATAGAAAATCTTAAGATTCACATGAAATATGTGTGAAACTATTTTTATATGCCATCATTGTGCAGAGTGTTTCACAGTCAAAGGAAACCTGAAGACACATAGGAGTTAACACTGGAGAGAGGCCTTTCAAGATCATTCTGGAAATAAAGTGTGACCGTGACGAGGTTTACCAAAAGAAGAAATTTTAAAAATCCCCATTAACTGTGATCAATGTAATACATTTCTTTTGACATTACACCCAATAGATGCACCTAAGAAGTCATGAAAATGAGACGGTATTTTTGTGCTTTGTGGAGAAAGCTTTAAAGGGTTAGTTCACCCAAAAATGAAAATTAGCCCATGAATTACTCACCTTCAAGGCATCCTAGGTGACTTATGACTATCTTCTTTCAGACGAATCCAGTCGGAGTTATATTAAAATGGTCTTTGATCTTTCAGGCTGTTTAATGGCAATCAGCAGGTGTTGCAGTGCATCAGTCCAAAAGAAGTTAAATAAAGCGCATCCATCCATAATAAAAAGTGTCTCACACGGCTCCGGGGGGTGAACAAAGGCCTCCTGTAGTGAATCAATGCGTTTTTGTAAGAAAAATATCCATATTTAAAACGTAATAATCACTTTAATGTAGCTTGCGCTCACTGTTGTAAACAGAAGCAGCTGCGGGCGGATGACGTATGAGTTCAGCGCTGCGCACGGGCCGCTCAGAAGTGATGAACGCGCGGAAGCACAGCGGAGAGATCAAAACAAAACAACGGTCACTAATTAGAAGTACAAAACCAGGATTAGTAAAGAAGAATGTGGGAAGATTTCGATATAAGCCAAGAGGAGACTGGTTTTCCTTTGCTAAAGTAAGGAAACTTTGCTTCCTTTGCTCCTGTTAACAAACGTTGGTTTTCACGAGACTCACCGGCGCATGCGCAGCGCTGAACTCATACGTCATGCTCCCGGAGCTGCTTCTGTGAACAACTGCTGGCGCAAGCTAGATTCAAGTGATTATTAAGTTTTGAATATGGATATTTTTCTTACTAAAACGCATCGATTCGCTACAGGAGGCCTTCGTTCACCCCCCGGAGCTGCTTGAGGCACTTTTTATTATGAATGGATGCGCTTTATTTCACTTCTTTTGGACTGATGCATGCAACACCCGCTGAGTGGCATTAAACAGCTTGAAAGATCAAAGACAATTTTTAATATAACTCCGACTGGATTCTTCTGAAAGAAGAAAGTCATATACACCTAGGATGACTTGAGGGTGAGTAAGCCATGGGCTAATTTTCATTTTTGGGTGAACTAACCTTTTAAATAGCCCTGTAATTCAAAATAGCTCCAGAAAATGGGTATCTGTTTGAAATGAAGACTACGCTCACACCACAGCTGAATGTGCCGTATCTGATTATGGTACCTTCATAGCCATGTCTTTTATTTGTATTCTTCACTTTTTTTTATACTTGTCTTGAAGCTTTTTTATTTTTTTATATATATATATATGATCTCCTGTATCCACACCTGACTGTGTCCTTTGCTGTAGTTTCAAATATTGTAGTAGACACTCTAATTTAGATTGTTTGGAGACGTTGTGCCATTCCGTTTACTGGTAACTTGGAATCAAAATGTTAAATTTCTGTCTTATGCCACAATGTAACTAAATGATTATAAATAAAATGGTGAACTGCAGGAAGTAATGAACATTGCACTGAATTATTTGATGCATATTTAGTGAGAGAATGCACAGGTAAGGATGATTTAAAGGGGTCATTGGATGCAAAATTCACTTTTGTTGTTGTTTTAACATAAATGTGTGTTGGAAGTGAGTAAACATCCATCCTATAATGATAAAAATCCACCTAGTGTTTTTTTTTTTTTTTTTAAATACCTATCTTAAAATCCCCTTTCTCAAATCAGGCTGTTTTGAGACTCCCTGTCAGAATGACGTAGTTCTGCACAGGCCCCTCCCACGATAGTTGATTGACAGGTCCGTCTTACCTTAGCTCCGCCCTGAGTGAGCTGTCATCAGTCCGCCATTGTGTCGACTCCGGCGCTTCATCACTTGAATTAAGATTTTATTTAAATTTAAAGTAGACATTGGATGCAAAGTTCACTTTTACATGGTGTTTGCATATAAATGTATCTTAGCAGTGTGTGGACACAACCACCCTACAATGATGATAATCCATTCACTCCTTTTTTTTTTTTTTTTAATCCCCCAAAATCCCAAACAATCTCAATTATCAAGCCGTTTTGATTTTCTGAGCAATATGATGTCATATTGTTCAGGCCCCGCCCACAACCACCACTTAGGATGCAGTGCATTAGTTTTGTTTTTAATGGTAATGCGCCACTGAATACACCTAAATTCGTTTGTCTGCGCAAATCATTTTACTGCAGACTGCTTTCTGAATGAGGGACAATTCAAGGCAGGTTTTGTTAAAAAGTTCAAATTCAAGGACAGATCAGTACCCCATGTTCGTGATCCAGCTGCACCTCCAGAAGAAGTCTGACACTTTATATTTTTTATGATTATTTGCAAATCGCCTTTGCTCTTCCACGGAAGAAAGGGGCGAGTGAGCAGAGCTCATTAGCATTTAAAGGGACATGCCCCAAAATGAGTCGCTGTGAACAGAGCAAGGTAAAAAGGGTGTTGTTTTACACGCCCACTGAGGAATTTTAACCAAAGTATGTTGCAGACCGTTCATGAAGACCCTGAAGAATCATACCAAATTGTGGAAGATCAATGTCCCCTTTGAAGCACAG